CTCTCTCTCTCTCTCTCTCTCTCTCTCTCTCTCTGGGGGCCTGTTTCTTTTTTTTTCTTTTTTTCTTTTTTTCTTTTTTTCTTTTTTATATCAAGCACAGGGCGCACCTCCCTCAGCGCGCACACCGCGCACAGCGGACCGCACAGCGCACGGTGCACAGTGCACGCACTGTCATTCCAGCGCACAGCGCAGTGCGCACCGCCCCGCACCGCACTGCGCACTGGTGCGCCGCAACTATGGTAAAAATACAAAAAAAGGGCTAAAAACTTAAGCATGTGGATATATTTCAATGGTATAATAATCAATCGCTTAATTCTTCCCTACCTCCAAGAAGTAAAGAATACAACGGCGACCGACTGGCCTACCTACGTTGGTACACCCATGTCCTGTCGACAGACAGACCTGTGTTCAAATTCCAATGGAATGAGATGAGAGCAAAGTTGCAACCAACACTGAATTTACACGAGGCCACTCAGTTAAAACTTGAAACTTCAAAGATGATATCTCAAGCCTGTTGGCTGTTGTCTTTGGGGGAAAAACGGCCAATGCAGACTGAAATGAGGGCTATTGAATAATTGTAAGATCTTACAGTGCACTGTCACCATGAAATTAAAAGAAAAGAAAAAAGGTGACGACTTTCCATGTCTCATGCTTGTCAACTAATGCATACTCAAAATAAGATGTTCTCCACCGAAAGTGGCCATAACTGCCGCCACATACATTCTCAAAAGCCTAACATGAGAGCACTGCATTTTTTATTGGGCATTGTCTAATCATATAACCAGGTGCAAGATGTGTGAGCATCTCTGAAGGAGAGGTACACACGTAGCCAGGCAAGAGTAAAAGCATTGAGAAAAAAGCAGAAAAAAGCAGATAAAAGGATAGCAATGCTTACCACTTGAGGGGAAACCATGAAAGGACATTGTCTAGATCATAACCAGGGAACAGTTCAGAGTGTGCTCCTCACACACACACACACCACACACACACACACACACACACACACACACACACACACAGAGAGAGGAAGGAATAGTGCTGCAAGATATGGTAAGGAGAAAGTGTAAAACACATACTACCATAGCAAAATGCCAGGGAGGGGAAGCGCAGCCCCAGACTCTCCGGAAAAGAAACGAAAACCAGGAGAAGTTCCCATTCAGGAAAAAGAAGAAAAGAAAGAAGGAAAAGAAAGCCAGCTCAGAAAAAAAAAATTGACCAAAACATGTCCATGCTCCCCACCTCCCTGCTGACACAGACTGGCACCTTAATAGTGCAGCCCTCATGGAAAGCCCACGCAAACAATACCAATGGCAAACCGAAACAGAAATCCAATACACCAAAACAGCAAAGGACGAGAAACGGGAGCACAAACAACAAAGAAATTGAAAGAAAAAGAAAAGACAAGAACAAGAAATGACAGCCAATTGGAGTGAACCGAAAACAGACATTCAGTGTGTGCAAACAGCGAAAAAAAGGAAAAGGAAGCACAACCAAAGGGAGGAGGGGAAAGACAGAGGTATTACGAGAGTGAGAGAGAGAAGGTGGAAGGGCGAGATGGAGAAAGAGGCGGGCATGGGGGAGAGAGAGACACACACACAGATTGGCACAGATTGGCACAGACAGACGCAGACAGACACAGACAAACCATTGGACGGACCGATCTGCCTGAACCAACCACAACCAATCCGATCGACCCAACCAACTGACTCCCGAACCAACCAAACCAACCGGACTGACCCACTGACCAGACAAACGAGACAAACCAGACACATAGACAGACACAGACAGAGAGCTCACCTTCAGCAACCGGATGAAACGTTCCAGCTTGATCTTCTTTGATTTGACAAGTGCTTCACCATCCTTTTCTGAAGGAGTCGCCATTACAAGAAGCAGAGGCACAACTCTTAACAGCGTGTGCCGTTCTGTATACAGAAGCACTCTCTCAGATTCCAGCATCTCGAAGCTGAAGTTGATCAGAAAAAGCAGCATCTCCTCCTGGCTGTGTGAACAGTAATAACAACAATGGTCTTTTCAAAAATGATCCGCATGCAAAAATGGGACGATACATGCAAAACAGGACTAAAAATCTTAAGGACTACCGTCTTCACCCGAATAGAACACCCGGTCAGTATAGCTGTATTCGGCACAACTTTCAGCCCAGATACGGCAATAATTACCGGGCTTTCTATTCAGGTGAAGACAGTAGATAAATACATCTGATATACCGAGTTCCTGTCAACATCTGACATGCTTCTAAGCAATTCTACTCTTCAGTTCATGTCTGTGCCTCTGAGGGTGACTCTGCACTCCACCCAAATCCAACCTACGGCTGCTGAAGTCAAATGCAGTCAAGAACCACCTTGGAACCCCGTCGTCCCCGAACGTAAGGCATGGCATGGCCAGTATAGCTGTATCTGGCTCAAAAACCATGCAAAATACAGCTAGAATGACCATAGCTTATGCTTGGGGGAAGACAGTAGCCTCCCTGGGCCCAGCGTATACCACGAGGCACTACCATCTTCACCCAAATACAACGTATGGTCACTATAGCTGTATTTGGGGCAACTTTGAGTCTAGACTCTAGATACAGCAATGATGACCATACATTGTAATCGGGTGAAGACAGTAGTGTTTAAAGTGGATGGATGAGGCGCTACTCAACTCAGTGGAAGACACATGCACAACCGAGTTATATAAATCAGTCAGCGTAGATCGCAGGGGGGAAGCACATCTGAGAGGGTAAGTCACATCACATAACAGAAGAAACCTAGCCCCATAGCAGCATAGAGAGGCAGTGACCATTCACAGCGCCTATAAGGGCATCATACTCAACCCAGGAAGTTTTTCGTCTGAACCTGGACATGGTTGCCCTCAGGTACATCAAGCAATGTATTTGTGTGAATATGCCCTGAATCGATTCTCAGTTTCTTTCCCTTCTCTTTTCTTTTCAGTTCGTAATTCTCCATCCTGTTTCAAGGGTGTAAGCGATTAAATACTTTCATTGCTCTTTTAACCTCTTTCACTGCTTTGCTTGCCTTTTTCAAGGCTACTTGTGATTTAAACTGATTTTAATTTCTTTTCCTTCTTTCTTTGTAATTTTAATTTCTTTTCTACGTTTTGGTTTTACTCTGTTATTGACCTTATCATCTTTTGCTTTCTGGGTTTGTTTTTTGCCCTATTTTACTGCTTAGCTCTGCTTCAGTGCTTCCTCTTCTATGGGTTAAAAAACAAAACAAAAAAACACGTCCGCATAGTCCTGGCTCCAGAGTCCAGATCCATTTTGTGGAGCGCCATTCCAGTTCCCTTTCCCCCACCAAGTCATAAATATACACTATACTATACAGCCCCTTTACACAATCACGCTTCCTTCTGCAAGGCGTAAGGACCCCTGATCAGCATTGATTGCTCCAACCTTTATGGAGGTCTGACGGTCAGCCTACCTTTCTTCTAGAATCCCTCTCAGACGGGAGATACCAGGTCTGCCAGATTGACTAAGGCATAAGAATCATGAAGGGTAGGAGCTGAGCCCATCTCAACTGTCTGCGACTGTTATCACCGATAACCAGTCGTTCTCTGCCGTACTGTCTCCTCTCTCTCTGTTGATCCCCGGCTCCCCTCGTGGGATGGGCTTGACCGAAAGTCCCACTGCCATATGATGTCTCCTGACTATCATGCCCGGATAGGGACTTGTGCTTCCTGAGTATGTATATTCTGCCTCCTGCTTGGAATCTCTGAGTTGTTGCCAGTCTGTCCACTTGAGGTTGAGTCCATGGAAATACGGCACCTCGACCCTGTCCACCGTCTTCCCCCAAATGCATTGCAACCTCATTATGGGTGTACCGAACCGGAAAGATAGTTTGTATACATTCATTATCAGGATGTGTTGTGTTCGGGGGAAGACGGTAGCCACATGTACTTGAACTTAGCTCCAAGCTCCCGTTGAGAGTCTGGCTTTCTCTGAGCTCAGATTTCGACTCTCTGGCATTTCTATTGAATTTCTGCCTCAATCGTGTCTTTGGTAGTAGGATGTCATCCAACCTAATGCAGCACCTCTCTTTCCAGATTGCCAAGAGTGTTACTTACTTTGTGCATCATACCAAACCACACTTTTTCTGCCTCGCAGATGTGGGGACGGGTGTTGGTCAAGCGGAGAAGTTGGATGGGCGGTTCAGGGAGAAAGTAGGTGCTTCCTCTTTTCTTCTTCTTTTTCTTCCTTTTGCATGTGTATTGCTTTTCATGGCTTTTGTTTTCCTTGCGATGATCCTGCCCAATTCATGAAGCAAATATCAACTTGGAGAATGTAATTCATTGCAACTCAAAAAGAAGTGAAATAAAACAAAGGGTAGACGAAGACGAACACAAGATTCGATCAATGACTCCTGCTTCCATAGCCTCCTTGCCTAATCATCCCTCACATACCTCCTCCTCTTTTTTTTTTCAAAATAATAATAGAAGTGAATGAAAAAATAGACAAGAATCAATGTCCAAAAGATCCTTCTACTGCCACTGCAGAAAGAACTCTCATTTAGCTCTCTTTGATCTCTCTTTTCTCTCCTAGTAGCACTGGTGGCTATGGCAGCTCATCCCCTTCGGCAAGGGATGTGCAAAGGACAATGCACTACTGCTCCAGCTCCATCCGCCATGCCTAACTCACGAATCAGGTTCATGTCCAGCTAACCTACAGGGGCCTTCAAGGTGCAGCACCAACCACGGCGGTGAAAATCGCTGAAGATGGGAGTCCTACCATAGCCAAAGGTGAGTCTCCTTGAGGTTTCCCTACTACTTCCTCCTCCTCGCACCTCTACTAGTCTTCCTCCTATCTCCTAAGCCCAATGTGGGTGTCTACTACTACTCCCTGCATAGCATGACTCTCTCCCTCTTCTCCGCCTACTCCTCCATAGTGCCAGGGGCCTTCAAGACAGAGCACCAACTAAGTAAATGAAAATCACTGACGATGAAGTCCCACCATAGCCAAAGGGAAGCCTTCTTGTTAGTTCCTACATCTTCCTCCTCCTCTCGACTCTACCAGTCGTCCTCCCCACTCCTAAGCTCAATGTTTGCATCTGCTACTCCTTCCGCCATAGACTGACTCTGTCTCTTATCTCCACCTACTCGTCCATAGCCATGGGGGATGTTTTCGTCACCCTCAACTCCTCTTTCACTCCAGAGCTCCACCACTTCTTCCCTCAAGGCGGGAGCAGCCGTATGACAGCAGTGTGAATACCCAAGCTACTTGTTGCAACCAAATGATATCCTCTTGCCTCTCAACCTCCACCCTCCCCATCCAGGTGATCCCCCGACGCTACTGGTGCCCTAGCGTCTTCGTCCGAATAGAACGCACAGTCATAATCACTGTTTCTAGACCCAAGGTTTCCCTACATACAGCTATAATGAGCATGCATTCTATATGAGTGAAGCCAGTGGCCTACTGGTTCACTGCCCCTTTGGGCAGGAACATCATTGCAGACTATAATCCTACCGGCACACCCTGAATCTAGAGACCCGACATAGGCCTGATATCACCATCATTACTCACCTACTCCTCCTACCGACACCTACTCCTCCTACCGACCCTCTCCAAGTTGCTGGAAAATCCCTATCACATCCCTCCCAAATTCTGCTCACTGGACGTTCACGTGGATGATGAATGTGACTTTGCACGTCAGATTCAAATGTGCATGAAATTTGATTTCCTTTCCTGTAATGACAGAAGCTTCATTTCTCTCCACTGTGGGGGAAGTGGAAACTCGAAAAGAAAACAGGAAAAGGAGAGTGCAATTCCAACGACCCTACCGTCTTACCCCGAAAACAAGGTATGTACCTGGTCCTCGTGTATGCATAGGAGGCACGGTGTACCTTGTATTTCTTTAGAAGGTATGTTGTATGTACCATACACAATGCGCTTTGGGTACTAAAAAAGTATTGAAAAAGAGAGATTTAAAAATCATTTAATCGTTCGTACAATTTTAATGGCTCTGCAATTATTCTGCAATTCTGCGCTGTGCCCGATAACTCCGCCTCCACGAAAAGAAAAAGGGGCTGCGGCCTACTGGACCCCAGCCTTTCCTTTAAAATATCGGCAGTTTGTGGTTACCATAGATTTAATAGGGAGGTACCTCGTATTCAGATTACAGGGCACAATTCTTTATTTTTTCAGGCTGGCGGTACCAGCCATTATGGTTCGGTAGCCGCGATCTCCTAAAGATGTGGCGTGCATGCAGCTCGGGCAAAAAAAAATTGTGTGGGAGAGACAGAGGTGATTTAGACATCTGCCCTTAAGAACAACTTTCAATGAAAACCGAAAAGATGTGGGAGCTTCCTTAAGGCAATTCTGACCACTACCTTCTTCCCCCGAATACAACGTACGGTCATTATAGCTGTATCTAGACTGAAAGATGCCTCAAATACAGCTATATTGACCGTATGTTGTATTTGGGAGAAGAAGGCAGTATGCAGCTCCCTGTGAGTAATTACCCTCAGCTTGATGAGCCGAGGTTGTGAGCTGACCTGGTGGTAACGGAAAAAGTAAGGAAAAAAAAAAAGAGAAAAATAGCAGGCTGACGAGAAGATCAGTACTTTGTCAGATGGCTCGCCACTGCTCGAAAATTGGCGGTTATGCTCCACCGCATGGTCAAGAAAGCCTGCACAGTCCACCCACGCAAAAGGCACATGAAGAAGAGTCATTAATGGTGAGCTGCGGCTCACGTTATCTTGCATGGTTTGAAGAGGACTCGGGTACTGCTGGCGCGTTTTCGTGTCACAAGATTTCTGTCTGAGCCATCCGCAGCACGGAACTAAATACAGGAATGACCAGTTGCAATCAATCAGGGACTCAGGGAGCAACAGTTCACAATCCAAATGATGCGCCAGAGACCCAGAGCATGAAGGTCAGTGATGAAATACATCAAAAGTGTCCTCCAAATCATCCACAGATGCACATAAATCAAGGCTGAAATGCGAAAAATGAGTTGATAATTCGATAAACAATAATACCTAAATGCACAATAGTGATAGTCGAATGCTCAGCAGGCCTGATGAGATCAGTGCGGAAAGGCAGACATAGTGTGAAGTCTGCACATCATGGTGCTACAGTAGCTGTGAATCTGCCATTACAGTCGTTCCAGCCATCCCTACATGGCTGGTTGGTAGCAATTTACCTTCTAGACAAAGCAGTATGAAAGAAGTGAAGGGAAGAAAAAGCCTTTTCAAGAAGATGGGTGACCTAAGGGGTCAAAAAAACCCTTTTCAAGAAGATGGGTGATCTAAGGGGTCAAAAGAGTGTAAGGTCATTTGATCCAAGCAAAGGGGTCTAAACATGTGCCAGAATGGTTGTGTTTGGGTCTTAGGAAGTACTGGCGTATGTTTACGCCAATTGTCTGTGATCGATGTAACACCCGCTGTCCTGCTCGTCCCATCTTTAAGGCTCTTATGATGAAGACAGGGTAATCTGGCATTCAGAGGGGAATCCAGCACTGATCATTCACAGGGCAATCCGCCAATCAGCATTCCAAGGGCGATCACCCAATCAGCATTTAGCCGAGCAACACGGCGACCAAACACCGGCTGACCTTCCAACTGGCAGCCAGCGAGTGTACCCCGCTATAGTAGGATTGAATGGCACAAACCTCGTAGTCGAAACTGACTACTTGGTTGACCACCTTGCACCTTTTGCCCCGCACTCCCACATGCAAGACCTGTGCCACCACTATCAGACGTTGAGCGCACGGCCTGCTCAGGTCTGGCGAAGATTGATAGGGGAACCAGTCTATGCAACGGAGTTGGGACTGGACTACAAACTGTTCTCGGGACCGGATCAACCTTCAGAGCTGAGCACTCAAAGCAGGACCCGTCTCGCCATAACACCAAGCCGTCCCAATGCCCCAAGTTAGTCCAGGCCTGACACCCATTCTAAAGACTAGCCTACTCCCCATTCTAGGCCCTCGCCTTAGGAACAGATAAGATTCAGGCCACTGGTCCTAATGATCGCTCGGACCAGCCTATGCCAAGGCCCCATTGGCACTGGCCCCATCCGAAAATATTTGGACTGTCCATGCTGAAAAACAAAATAGGCAGCCCCCCTACAGATCTGAAGGTTCAGACCAAAATTAGATCACGCTTTTCATAAACCTAAACGGTCAAACTAATAATGGAGTTCCCCGTTCATAGAACTGGAGGGTCAAGCAAAAAACAGAACTGTCCCTTCACAGATCTGAAGGATTAAACTGAATTTTTTTAAAACAGCTTTTGGAGACTGAAAGGGTCGAACTACAACTCGACGCCCCTTTCGTGGAACTGAGGGGTCAATCTAAGATTAGAACGCCCCTTTCGTGAAACCGAAGGGACGTGATAAAAATAGAAAGCTTCAAATCACCCTTTTGTGACACAAAAGGGTCAATCTGAAATAGAATGTCCCCTTTGCATGACTGATATGTTATAAATAGAACAGGTCTGTCCCTAGCTAAAAATACAACACTCCCACCCCTTTGGGAAACTAAAGGGGCCTAATCAAATAGGATGTGCCAAGGTAACGACACCGAAATTGGCCCCTACAACCTTCCGGACAGATTGGGCCACGCCACACATGCGTTGTCTTCGTTCCAAGCTGCAAAAGGCTTGCTTCTTGGGCCAATATAAAGTAACCCTTGGATCTAGTGTATCCGATGGTCCCGAAGCCAAAGCTTCAGATCTAATGCATTATGCCCGAGGCTGCTTGAGAAGGTTGGGCTCCAACACCATGCTACCTCAGCTGTCCTCGTAAGGAAAAATGGTGCGTGCACAGCTTCACAGACAACTTAAGACGAGCAACAAGAATACATCATTCAAGCGGATAACTCCACAGTATTCGCATAAGGTCCTAGAACTGACTGCATTAGATCCAAGGAGGAAAAGACAGAACATGTTGTTTCGAAAACCAAACTTATGTGCAGTGAGAAATTGTTACATACCTGCAGATTGTCATTCTCCTCCTTGATAGAATCCCCATCTTCACGGTCCATGCACACTCGCGAAAATGTTCTGCACCGCACAGGAGTAAGGCAGTTTAGTAGCTCGCACCCACATCCTTCACCGTCATGCTGTCCTAAGACGGCAACAATAGACAGTCTTTTTTTTCTTTTTCTTTTGTCAACAGTTGCCAGATCGGCTCGAGGTGCCCATATGAGAAGTCCTGACGAAGAAGCTTCGCCGGAGGAATTTTCCGAAAAGATATTTCCTCAGGTCACTGAGGAGGTTCTAAGACAATCACAACAAGTTATGGGAGGTATGGGCTGCTTTATTTGAGGAATGGGAGAAGCTATATAGGCTCGGCCCAGGGTCAGGGGGCTTCCAGGATGGGTCGGTTGGGCCTATCCGGGGGTCTCGTCAGAGATTTAGTATCCATCTGTGGCTTGGTCCTGCCTTCTGATCTCACTGATCAGTCCTCTGGCAGTAGTGGCGATTCGAATCTGAAACCGGGACCTTTTTTCGAACGGCCGGTGACACTCGACCACTTTTGGACTCGGCTGATGGAATTTAAAAGAACGTGCTTCCTTTCAGTTACTCCTTTCAATCTGCGTTCGGGAACTGACGGGTGCTTTCCCTAATTTGGCAATCATACTATCACGATGTTAATTTGTGGTGGAATTTGATGAGCGACCACCAACCACGACACACAGCGAAGGTGATTGCTGACAACGCTCTCTGACTTCCCGCCTTCATCCTTGAGCCCTCCCTCTGTTTCCCTCGTCTCTTTCCCTCTAATCTCTCTCCCCTCTCTCTCTCTCTCTCTCTCTCTCTCTCTCTCTCTCTCTCTCTCTCTCTCTCTCTCTCTCTCTCTCTCTCTC